GAAATTTCTTTATTTTATATATTATATGAATTTTATTCTAGTATTAAACTATATATTAAGAATAATGTTTCAGAAAAAGAAGTACTAGTAATATAAGAAAGAATATAAAGAATTTAAGTAAAACGGGAGGTACTAAAGAAATAATAATAAGAAATAGTAAATATATAGAAAAAGTATTATAATAAGAAATATATTAATAAGAAATTTAATATATATAATAAAGTCATGTTTTATATAAAAAATAATCGATAGCTATAACCTAGTATAAAGCTAGTAAATAGATATCTTGGCTCTTTTAAAGTTCTAGAAATTATAGGAATATATAAATAAGTATATTACTTAAAATTATTACTATTATATTAGATTTTTCTCTTAAAATTATAGTACTTATAAGCTAGTACTATAATAAAACCAGAATTAGTCGAGATTAAAAATAAAGAAGAATTTAAGGTAAAATTTATTATAGCCTATAAAAAAAATAGAAAAAAAAAGACGTATTTTATTTATTAGAAAAACTACTTATTAGTAAATAATATATAGGAACTACTAAATAATCTAGAGAATATAGTTCAAGAATTATAAGAATATTTAGAAAAAAGTAATATTATAATATTATTAATTAAATAGAAATATAAAAAATAAATATTTTTATTAGGAAACTATTAAAAACCATATATTTATTCTTGAAAAAACTATATAAAAATTATTAAGAATTCTAAAAACTCTAATTTCTATATTTTATAAATATCTTATTCTTATAACTATTTTTTACTATTCTTATTATTATTCTTATTAGAATTCTCTCGAGAAATAGATAATAAATTAGCTTATAAAGCTATTAGTTATTAATAAGAAATAAGAAAGAAATAAGCTTACTTAATACTAAAAAATATTAATTATATTATTAAGAATACTTTATATTTATACTAAGCTAGTAAGAATTACTTAACCTATTTCTTAGATTATTAGAGAAATTTATTAGTCTCAAATAATAGCTTTAATATAAGAAATATATATTATTTAGTATAGAAAAAGAGTAATAATAGCCTTTTTTCTTTTAGATAAAGATTAGGAAAGACGCTTATATATATTAATAGCTTAAAAAAAATAGTTTAATTATATTATATATATTTAAAAAATCTTAAATAATATTAGAATAAGAAATAAATAAAAGAAATTATAATTTATAAAATTATATTTCTTATTTTTAAAATAATAGTAATTATATATTAAGTAATTATTACTCTTAATATAAGTAAGATTAGGAAACTTAGTAATATTCTTGAAATATTAAAAATAATAAGAATAAATTAAAAATATAGAAGTATTAATTAAATAAGTAGTAATATACTAATAAATACTAAGAAAAGTATTTATTTTAATAAATAAAGAAATAGAAGAGGAAATTAGAAAAGAACTTAAATAAAGCTTAAATAAAGTTTAAATAAAGCTTAAAAGAGCTTAAAGAAGCTTAAAGAAGCTTAAAAAAGGCTTAAAAAAGAAAGGCAAGAAATAAGGAAAAGCTAGATATAATATTATAATTAAGAAAAGAAAAGATTAGTTAATAAGAAAAGAGAAGCCTTTTTATAATATTCTTTTCCTAAATAGTAATTATGAATTTAGAACCGGCTCTATATTAGAAATATCTAGAAAATTCCAAAGAAGAAATTTATAAATAAACTAGAAAATTGAATTAATTTTTCTAAGCTCTTAGGCCTATAAAGTAATAATTTATTTATAAATAAAGGCTAAGTTAGGATTTATAAACTAATTAGAAGACCGGAAAAGCTTTATATCTAATAGTATATACTATATTTATATTACTTTTATAAGAAGAAATTACTAGAAATAATTTGCAAGTTAGCTAGATAAGATTAGTAAACTATATTCTTAATTCTATTACCTAGTATAATAATAGAGTAATTATAAGAAGTTTTTAGGAAGAACTAGTAGCCAGGAAAGTTTTAGGGAATTATTTATAAAGCTATTTATAATTCTTTTAGGCCTCTTGGGAATAAGGGCCTAGAGAGAGAATTAATATAATAGATATATATAATAGTATATAGATAGCTATTAGATATCGAGAATCTAGTTTCCTATTTTAGATAAAGCTTATAATTAGAATTATATGAATTATATGGAATTATATTTCCTAGTTAAGTAAAGTACTTTATAGACTTAGCTAAGTACTAGGGAATATATAGGGAGATATTTTTAGCTTTAGAAAAGGGTATTAATTAGTCTTTTATTAAAATTAATTCTTGGAATTAGTTATACTTATAAGTATTACTTTATAGCTTATTTACCTTAATTACTTATATATTACCCTATTATTATATATCTTATATTTAGATATAAATATAATTATAATATATCTTAAGCTAGATCTAATATCTCGGATATTAATATAGCTAATTCTAATTCCGATTCTGATAGCTCGGATATATATATTACTAGTTCGTTCTCTAAGATAGAGGACAAATTAATGATTTATTTAGAAGAAAAAAAATAAAATAAAAAAGTAAATATATTTTACTTAAATTTTATTAAATAATTATCCGATATTCTTTTAATATTTTTTAATATATTAGTGCTAATATATATATAGACTAAGCCCTTAGACTATTAGAAGTCTAATGCCGCTAGATTTCCTGTTTTAGCTTTAATAGCTAGGAAATATTTAGGAATTCCGGCTTTCTTAACTACTAGTAAGAGGTTCTTCTCTCAAGGTACCCTTATTATATCTAAATTACGCAATAGACTTAATAAGAGTGCTTTTGAGATAATATCTTGCTTAAAAAGCTGGGGGTTATTTAAAGATGAATTAGAAGAGGCTAAAAAAGAAGAGAAATAAGCGGAGAAAAAAGAGAAAAATAAAGATTTTAAGGAGGATAATTGGTTTATTATTATAGAAAATTAGTATTTAAGTAGTCTTATATAAGTACTAGCTTAGCTTATATAAGGCTGCTTAATATGTACCCTAGTTCTTTTTTTTAATTTAAATATATGCTGATTTATTACAAACACGTGACTTTCATGTGACTTTCACGTGGTTATTCGTGGTTATTCAAGTTATTCATGAATAATTATTCTATTCTACTCAAATTAATTAAGATATTCGTTACTCTTATTTTATTCAAGTTATTCATGAATTATTCATGAATAAATCGAATAACTTGAATAATCCTTTGACACACTGATTAAATGGCATGGAATTCATTCTCCGACTGTACGCCCTTTGCTTCTGACTAATTTATGTCTCAAATAAAGTTCGGAACCCTGACACACCCCGCCCTTGGCAGCTTCGCGGAGAGCCTTTTCATCCAAGAAACTCTCCAAAAGTCGCATCTCAACTTCACCCTTTTTACATACCAGCCAAAAAACCCATTCTAAATTGCTCAGAAGCTTTTTTCAAACCATGTATCAATAAACTTCTTTTCTACATCCACACCCGACCATAAGATGACCTTCCTGCTTCCAATCATGCACAGTATCCGAGCAGGCTTCAGGGCCTACAACCTCTTTCTAATGAAAGCAACAAAAATAGGTGCTCTTCTCCCTCTGCTGTGCAATCCTCTTCACCATTCTTCCCACCAAAGTCGAACATACCGGGAAAATGGGCGCAGTGCGCATCTGCATCATAAACACCATCCTGCTCGAAGCTGCGCGTCGTCGCGTAAGTGATATCTCGGGCCGCAAGGCGAAGTTCCCGTTACCTGGCGTTGGGGATTATAGGATTTATCTGAACCCGCCTTTGTGGTCTAGCCCAACCTCGAGTTCGTTCACATATATACAGCAGTCTCAAAGGCGAGTGTATCTCTTACCGTGTACATCGCAGTACCCTGTGTGTCTCCCTCTTTATCAACACACACTCTCGAAACGTCATATTTGGGTCCTCCTCGCTCTCTTCACCCTGGTTGAATACTTGCTCGGTAGCTTGAAGGTCAAACTTTAATCTTTCGAAACCATGGGACCTGGTTATATTGGTACTGGCAATAGCGAGTAAATAGCATTCGCAGAGCTCCCCAAGCTCTCCACGTTAGTACCCTTTGTATCTACAGACTGTTAAATGAGCCAATTCAGCTTTACGAAGTGGCAGAAAGGACGTAAAAAATCCAAACCTGCGTTTCGATCTAACTCAAAACATCCTTTGTGTCTAGCTTTTCTACGGCCGCAAAGGTCCACTCCGGAATTGGGGAAACGAATCCACAGGCCTCCCAATCGGTGTGGAACGAATCGTTGCAAGGTTCTACCGGTAGTTGTTTCAGGTACCAATCTCGACGCATATTGGGGAAAGAAAAAATAACTTTTGCAAAGTATAGATGTATCTGAAGGGAACATGGGAAATGAGTTGGGCGTCATGGAAATTGAGCTGGGTGTTTTGTTTTTTGTGGTGGGGGTCCCTCAAGGCTTTGCGAGTGTTGGTCTCTCTCTGACCATTTTTGCACAAGATAAACAACAACAGACTCACCCACTGATCAAGAGACGGTTAAATATAGACCTTTGAGAGTAACGAATTCAATGCTACGATGTTAGCGGTTGACGAGATCGGTTGATTGGTATTTCGAGGTATGTTTCACCGAGTTTGTAGCTAATCCTAAGTGTAAGTCGCGCTGAACACTTCAAAAGTTCCATTCCCTGTACAAACCCAATTACGATACAACAGGAACTACGTATCATTCAAAGCCGCCCCAATCAAATACTGAATCCCTCTAAACGATGAAGATAGTGGTTCCGGGCAAATGTAAAACGACACCCACCCACCCCACCCCCCGGGTGTCGATTAGACAAATCAATGGATTTTAGAGTTTAATAATGCTTAATTAGTTGCTTATACTTACTTAAGTCTTTCTCTCGAATCAGGATTCCTAATATAGGTATAAGGAAGTTTGTATATAAGAGCTCTAATTTGGGGCGTGGAACAGGCGAGGCGATAATTGCGCACGAGGTAAATTAGTTCCAGGCGCTTGATTGCTAAAGTTTCAGGCTCTCGCAGTACCTTAAAAATTGCGACTTTCCTTACCTTCTTTAACAGTATCTGGAACAGAGGCTCCGTTGGCATCGCCTATACTGATAACAATCAGATGGTAGGCTGCGTTCTCGGAGGTGGAACTGTAGTGAATGCTACTCTCTGGTGGAAACCAAACCTGTCGGATTGGAACATCAATTTCCCTGCTGAGTGGAAGACAGCGGACATCGCAAACGCTACCAGCCAGGTGTTCTCCCGTATCCCAGAAACTGACCATTCTTCCATGGACGGCAAACGATCCCTTCAAGACGGTTTCAATTTGATCAGGAATGATCTATCAGCTTCGGGGTGGAAGGAGGTGACAGCCAACGATGTCCCAGCTGAAAAGAATCGCACCTTCGCCCACACACCACATATGTTCTCCGGTGGAGAGCGTGGTGGCCCACCGGCTACCTATATTGTTTCTGCCAACCCGTACCAACTTCCATCTATGGCTGAACACGAGTGTGGAGAGAATGGTCCGTACCAGTGGCCACCCAACTGGCCTCCATGTTGTTGCAACGCATGACGGAGGACACCAGGGAACTGCCATGCTTACTCCAACAACGGAGCATGTCGTCCTTTCCGCTGGAGCTTTTGGGACTCCCAAACTTCTTTTCCGAAGTAGTATCGGCCCAGCCGACCAACTTCAAGTCGTCCAGGCCGAGGAGTCAGCAATTATGATCAAACAGTCAGATTGGATCAACCTCCCCAGTCGGAAAGAGCTTGAACGACCACTTCAACACCGATATCGTTGTCTCCCATCCGAATGTTAGCTACTATGATCGGCCAGCAGCATGGCTCACACCAATCTTACAGGATCAGCAAATGTATCTTCAAAATCGTTCAGGACCCCTCGCTCAAGCGGCTCTTAACATCGGCTCGATCTTCTGGGAAGAAATCATGGGTCCCGATGGCATCGTTCGTCATGCAATGGCAAGAACGAGTTGGGAGTAGTTAATAGTGTACCACAACAAAAGCAAAGCTTCTTCCTTGTACTTCAAATAATTCTCGGCGACATTCTATGCAGCCGAGACCAACTTAAATTAAATTGACTGAAATATGTTGAAGTAACGACCGAGTGCGAATAAGGTGAAGAGTCGCGTGTGATGAAAATAAAACAAGGGTAAGCAAGTTTCCAACTACTGCAACTGTTACTATTGGACAGAGCAAACCTTTACGGCAACGAAGATAGTTCTACATGGAAGAATTGCGAGATTTGGCTTGCTAGAACGAAGGTGCGACTGAGCCAGACTCATCAAACCAGCAAAATCTCGAATCCCAAGCTGTCCATCGCAGCCCTCCAATCAACTTTACCAGAATCAGGATCCAGCTTCCGCAGTCTCCAGCACTCTTCCATGACGACCCGCGCCTTCGACGCTCCGAATTTCCCATCATTTGGATTACCAAAAAGTGAGAACTCCTTGAAGAAATTTTCATCTTCCTCCACCGCCATGCAGCCCGAGATACAGAATGGCCAGATCAAGTTATTGACCAACTGTGGATCTGGAAGAGCCTTGAAAGATTCCATGGATTGTGCTACCGCATGGCGAATTTCTGGAAGGTTGGGAAAAGCTCCTGAGATGATGACGTGGAGGTAGACAAATGCGGCGAAATAGTACACTCGTGTAACGGAGGAATTCACAGAGCTGTGGTCGACCTCCAGAAGACTCATATGGAAGGGAGAATTCGGGTCTGGAATCTGAATCTTATCCAGTTCTTTGTTTAATCGAGCTTCAATCTCGTTGCCGCGACTTGCAAGCTCTCGTACGCTAAGCTGCCCAACTGCCTTCAGATTGCTCTTCCATTGAGCTAGGAGGATGGTATCCTTAATAGCGAACATGACCCAGTTCTCGCAGCCGATGACCTTGTCGAAGTGGATGAAGTCAATATCGATTTCGTGGGAGCATGGCGCGGAAAGTTCCCATCCAATTGTGGCAGAGGAAGTGATGCTATACCACGCCAACAAAGTTGAAAAGAAGGAAAGTGCAACTCGATGAGGGAGTGTTCCTTCTTTTCGTAATTCTACGTCGCGGATTCGTTTGTTGATATCGGGAAATATCGAGAGGGCTGCTGAGATATGCAGCTGCCATGTTTCGGTGCTACTGATAAATCCCTAGATTGATATGAGTACAATTCCCAGAAGTTAGGAACGCCTCACCTCAATTGAGATGAGGAACACTACGCTGCAGAGAAGCTCAACCTCCTCCGTCAAAGTTCTCTCGCGATTAGAGGTAATAAGTACTTCCAGGTATCTCCGTAGCTCTGTTATGGCAACACCATATTGAGTTTGTAGAGCTTCAATTTGAAAACAACCCTTCCCCATTCCCCCCTGTAGGCAATACTTCAATTGTCGATGGTAGGCAGCTAGACTGCAAGCTGCATAATATAGTGGCTTGGCCAGCATCAGCAGGGACAGAAGCCAGCCTCGTCCTCCGTCTTCCAATGAAGGTTGGTAGAATCGAAATTGGCATGGAAACACGTAGTCCAAGTAGTGCATGAGTAAGACGGACTCATTTTGGGCGATGTAGGCAGCGGTATTCTCCGGTCTAAGACCTGGCGGTGGTCCATCGATGAGTAACGGTTTCGGGCTGGAACTCTCTCGTAGGGAAGGGCTCGTTGTGGCTCGTAAGGGATAAGGCGGGACCACATCCCCAAGAGAAGGATTGGCCAATATTGCCGCTTCTTCCGCATGTCTATGTTGACGCTTCGAATTCATCGCTGCCCTCTTCTTTTGACTCGAGACATCCTTCACAGTCTCCCGGATTCTCGCAAGCTTCTCCTTCTCCTTAGCTCCACCATCCATCCAGCGGGGTCTTGGGCCATAGCCTCCGCAGTCTAGCCGAAGAGAGTTGCATACCGCGCAATTAGGTTTCTCCTCGGGGCATTTCTTCTTCCGGAGCTTGCAGGTCCAGCATCCTGTCGTGCTTCGAATTTCACCCGCCATTGCTCAGCTTAGAACGTTCATTTCTCATCAGCTCTCCTGCATGCCTTTATGCGTTTCGCCGAGGTTGCGCGGTAACGCTAGCTGGTGTGAGAGATGAGGAGATATGAAGTTTAGTCGTGTGGGCCAGAGCATCGAGCCGATGAGACCACTGGCTGAGTCAGGAGTCAGGGGGAGGATGATGACAAAACAGGGTAATGAAATATGGTGAAACTGTAGCCGACCTTCGTTTCCAGTTTCCTTCCGCCCAAGCCAGAAAGCTTGGGCGGAAAGGGCGGTCACTGGTCAGAATGGAGAATCCTTCTCTGTTCTTGTAAAAGAGAAAATCAAACTGGAAACTATTGCAATGATTTCCAAGCCTCCTCAAAACCCGCGATGCTTTGAAATCAGATCAGAGCTGATCTTTGCGATCGGCGAGAAAGGGTATAAAAGGATAGTCTCGAAGGTCTCCGGATCCCATCAAAATCGCCAAATTCATGCAACTCGACTTCCCATTCATTGATTCATCGGAAATCGAGTTTCCTGCATCTCAACCGTGTCAAACTCATTGAGACTCCATCTCCTTTTCATCCGTTCTCCAGACCTCTCAGACATGCCTTCGTCTGTAGTCGTTGGTGCTTCTCGTGGTTTGGGTGTAAGTCTATGTTCGCTGAGAAAAGTGAAGAGCTGACCAAGAAAAGTATGAATGGCTGCGTCAACTCAGCAGTGGTGGAAATAACACGGTTATTGGTCTTGTTCGGACCCCAACTATTGTTGAAAAAAGACTGGCTGCCGATTTAATTCAAAATGTGCACCTCATCCAAGCCGACATGGCGGACAATAACTCCCTCGTCACCGCAGCCACGGAAGCGAAAAAGTTGACAGGAGGCTTCGTCGACTACCTGATCATCAACGGGGCATACACGAACCCAGCAGAGAACTTCCTCTCGCCAAGCGAGTTCTCCGGAAAAGAAGAGGAGTTGACCAATTCCATGATCGAAAGCCTCAAAGTCAATGTCCTCGGAGCCATCTTCTCGATCAACGCTTTCTTGGCTCTCGTGCGCAAGAGTAACATCAAGAAGATCATTGTAATTACAACCGGGTTGTCAGACAGAGATATGACAGAGAAGAGCACCTTCTCTCACTTTATGACATACAGCTCAATGAAGGCCGCTTTGAACATCGTAGTTGCCAAATATGCGGTGGAGCTGAAAAGTGAAGGGATCATTCTTCTTGCTTTGAGCCCTGGCTTGGTGGATACGACTTCTGATAAACCTGCAAGCCAACGTAAGCTCTTTGTGAAAGAATGAGATCACGTACTGATTATTACCAGCAACCCCTGAGGTGATGCACCGAATTGGCATTATGATGACAGAATTTCGAACGCGGGATCCTGACTTTCCGGGCCCGATCAGCACGGCTGAAAGTGTTATCATGCAGCAAAAGGTCATTGACAGCATTAGCATTGAGAATACGGGTGCTTTCCTCTCTCATCACGGAAACAAAAACTGGCTATGAGACGGCGTGTGGGCTGGGTCCGCTGAAATATAATCACGGCCGTCAGATTTTTGCGCATGTGATGGGGGTGGAGGGGATTAGTGAAATGAGTTTCAATTTATGCTTGTCTCCTGTGCCGCGTCCTTTTGTGTTCTCATGACCGGATGAATTGTCTATTATCTCCCATGACTGTCACCTGCAAGACTATCGTCGAGGTCTGGGATGTGTTGATATGCAGTTATACACTGACGTTGTCACTTGTTCCCACCTCGAACCTCCAACAGGCCAAGCCTTGCCATACCATCTAAAAGAGTTAGTCTTTCTCACTCCTTTCGCAATATCAAAATGAACCTCCTTCGGAAGATAGCGTTAAGGACGAGCAGAGTGCCTTGGCAAATAAGCTCGACATGTTGGGCTGTATCTTGCCAATGGCACCGTGATATTGCCAGTTCTAGAAGACAAAGGGAATGTTAAGAGAGGATCCGAAGCAATGACACAACAAGGCCAGGTAAAGCAACGACTGCTCTCGCAAAATATTTCTGAGCCGAGCGAGATGTTGCTGATTAGTCTTGAATAGAGGAAGCTCCGAAATGAATCTTGGATCTTGGAGGGTCCAACGGCTTTATGTCACTCACGACTCTTGAGAAAACGGCATTTTCATTGTTCCCAACATAGTGTGGATATTGAACCCTGAACCGAACGGTGAAGGTTTGAACAAGTCCTCTGGCAAAAAATGAATACCTATAAATAGGGCAAGACCCCCCCATCCACAGTTGTGGTGCAATGATTGGAATAGAAAAGACGAACACGAGAATGGCCGTGCCAACTTCAGTGATCAACTTTACTGAGGTTGAGTCAGCTTCAAGTCATTCACTCCTATACGAAGGGTACATAATCTTACAATCAGAGATTGACTGCTCTGGCGAGTTTTGGTACTCTCCAGGAGGCATGTTGTTCCAGATGAATTAGAACAGTGAAGGTGTGATAGAGATTTGTTGATCTGCAGTGGCTCGGTGCACAAGGATAAAGCCTAAAGGTTTGCCGGCGAGCTCGAAGTTTGGAAAGGTAAGATCGAGTCGACAAGCCATGCGAGCAATGGTGTGGAAGGCAACGATCAGAGTTGAGGCAGGTTGTCAATTTACAGCTAACAGGGCTAGAAGGAGTGCAGAAGGTATGGTTGAGGAGGTGTTGGTTGTAAAAGGCTGGTTGAGGTTGAGGGATGGGAGAGTGGAAGACGAGGAGACTTGATAACCCTGGGCCGAGATTGTCTGTTGCTTGAGTGAATTGGTCGAGATTGATAGAAGAAGCGTGAACTCTCGCCTCCTAAGTTTGATAAGCCTCACATTTGGTAGCTTAAAGTCGGTGAGGCTGATAAAAATCCAGACAGTCAAACCCTGTGCAAGTGTGGCTAATTTGGTATTTTAACCCTTTTACCACGTCTACTGAGGCCATTAGCGGGCTAGCGGACAAATTCGAGAAGCGAAAAGTGATTTTCTGATTTTCTGATTTTCGCGCCCACCCCCCCCCCCCCCCCCTACCACACCTTACTAAAAAAAAAAAGTATAGCATACACGCCTTATTCTCGACTACTCCTAACCCCCCCTTAGCTTGCGTAGTCCGTAAGGCAAATCCCATGGATTACGAGGCACATCTCTATCTCCCTTACTCTTTATATCTTCCGTACTACTTATATTACTTAAATTATCTATATCTTCTTCGTTCCCTTCTCCTCTAGTATCCTTACCCTCCTCTACTATAATCTCCTTCCCTATTACCTTCTAACCTTATATCTATCTTTATACTCGCTTTCTATATTTTATAGGTAATTAAGGCTTTAGTATAAAGGATTTTATAGATATAGAGTAAGGCTTTCTAGACTTAGTAGGATTAGTATTAAGTTAATAAAAAATACAGATTTTACTATTATTATTATATTTATAATTTATATAAGTACTATTAAATTCGCCTTTTATAACTGTATAGTATTTAAAAAGGCCCCTCGGTCTCTTCTTATTACTATAAGTAATATAAGCTTAAGAGAATTCGGTTCTATAAGTATATACTAAGCTTGCCTCTAGATTTGCCTTACCTTTCTCTAATTCCTTTAGCTTCTTACCCTAGTATAGCTTTATCTCTCTAACTTTAGCCTTATTATTAATTCGCTTTATTACTTTAGTAATATTATTAGATAATATAAGGAAATTAAAGTATTATTACAGAAGAGGAAAAGAAAGTTATATATGAGAAGAAAAAAGTTATATATAAGGAAAAGGTTAAGAAATAGAAAGATTTATTAATTAAATATATTAATAAAAAAAGATATTATAAACTAAGTCTAAACTATTAGAAAACATATTATAAATATTATCTTTCTGCTTATTTATAGCTTTATTACCTTTTTTACTACTTTTATCTTTACTAAAACTATTACCTAAAGCCATATTTAATATGTCTTTAATAAAGAAAAGCTTTAATAATATTATTATATATCGGAATTAAAGTTATTTTCAGAAAAAGATTAAGGTTAAGATTAAGGCTAAGATTAAAGCTAGTATAACTATATCTTTATTATTTATTTTTAGAATATAAAGATATATATTTAATATAATTATTTAAATCCGAATAAATTTATAATAAATAATACCTAAAAATAAAAATATTAGTACTTAATAGCCCTAGATTAAATATATTTAAAAATTAAAAAAATTATAATTTTAGGTATTATAGTTATAAAAATAAAGATATAAATATTCTTTCTTTTACTAATTTATAAAAGCTAAGGTATATTAATAATAATTAAACTATACTTAACCTATATAATTAGCTAATTTATTTTACTAATTATAAATAATTTGAGGTAATTTAAATTTCCTCAAATCTCTATATATAGCTTATTATATAAACTTCTATATTTCTATATTTAATAATACTATAATTATAATTTTTAGATAAGAAAAATTCCCTTATTCTAATATATATAATTATATTTATTTCTTATTTTTCGAATATATAATTATTAAATTAAAGAGGCTTAAGAATTCTAAGTAATACTTTTTTCTAAAAGATATATATCCTTAATAAATAATAAAAGTAAATATGAAATTATATAATAATATAACTATCCTATACTAGTAATTTTATTTTATTTTTACTCTAAAACCTTTATCTTTCTTTTATATTTTTTCGACTTTACTATTAATACTAGGAGCTTCTATTCTTTACTAATACCTTCTCTATTAATACCTTTATTAATATTTTTATTAATACCTCTATTAATACTAAGAGCTAATATCTAACTACCTTATAACCTTTTTCTTTTCCTCCTTACCCCTCCTTACTCTTCCTTCTTACCCCTCTTCCAAATCCTTCTTCTAAACTCCTCCTCCTTTAATACTTCTTCTATTAATACCAAGAGCTAGTATCTAACTATCTTATAACCTTCCTCTCCTCCTTTAAACCCCTCTAAACCCCTTCTCTAAACCCCTCCTCCTTTAATACTTCTACTAATAATACTAAAAGCTAGTACCTAACTACTATTTCCGGGTTACTTTTATCTAGAACTCCTATATTATAAGTCTTTAATCTACTTATTTCTTAGAAAGCTAAATTTTAGATCCCTTTTCCCCTTTTCTAATATCTCTTTCTCTTCTTTTCTAATACCTCTCATATCTTTAAGCCCTTTAGAAATACCCTCTTTTAAATTTCCAAAAAAAAGGCTAACTCCTATTTAAATTCCTCCGAACTTTAATATCTCTTTTTCTCCTTTAATACTTATAAAAGCCTTCGGGCTATTACTAAGTATCCCTATTCTTTATCTTAGAATATATATTAACTTATTCTTATAGGAAATAGCCCTTCTTTCTCTAATCTCGATTTCTTTAATATATATTTCTTGCCTTTAGGCTATTTAGATATCTCCCTATTTACTTTTATAAAATATATACTAACTTACTTTTTAGTTCCTCTTACCTTATCTTTCCTTTAATATTACTATATATATACCTAGTTAATACTAGTTCTTATAACCTATAGTTAGACTTTCTATTTATTAAATACCCGAGTATTTTATTTTACTTTTACTTTATATATTTTATTTTATATACTTTATTTTCCTTTTATTATAAGTTAGGACTCAAATAGTATTTACCTTAAATACTTATACTCTCGGATATATAAGACTTCTATAGATCTTTCGGGATTATAAACTAGTTTATTTTAGTTCGGGAAAGCTTTTTTAAAAGTATTTCAGAAATTATAATATTTACTATAATTCTTTCTAAAGATTAATATAATATAGGTATTTCTAGTCTATTCTCTCTCTATAAAGCAAACCACTATCCTAAGTTTATATAAAAGTCCTAATTAATTCCTTAAATTAAAATATAAATACTTTTTATTTCTATTAAATTAGATATAAAGAATAATAGATATCTTTAGGTTAGACTATAATACTAGTTAAGTATTAAGACTTCCTATACCTATTTTATAAACTTATAGTTCAAGATATATTATATTTAATAGAGCTTCTATATCTAATTACTTTATACTATAATAAAACATTTTAGTATTATAATTAGGAAAGTTCTACTTTATAATCTTATCTATTACTTATAGATTTTCTAGCTAATAAGTCTTAACTAATAGCTAAGAAACTTATTAGCTACTTTATCTAAAGCCTTTAGGAATAGGAAGTTACCTTAATAAAGACTTAGTATTAAAAATAAATTTAACTAATTAATCCAAATAAGAAGTTTATAATAGAAATCTCTATATATAAATAATTTTATATAATAAATTCAAGTCCCTATTCCTAGTTATATAAATAAGCCATATAAAAAACTCTTTCTAGCCTATTAAAGTAGTTCCTATCCCTAGTTATATAAGTTATAATATATAATAAATTCAAACTTTTCTTGAGTTATTTTTAGAAAAATTAGTAAGCTTTTCTAAATAGACTTATTAAGGCCTTAGTTTTTAAAAGTATTAGTTTAGCCTTCTTACTTCTCCCTTAAGTAATAGTT